ACCCAATTTCTGGAACTACATTGGAGGGTCCAGGTAGGGTTTACAATGCCCCTTAAGTAGATAGAATATGGCTTTGGGGATATTATAATAAGATCCCCGTATACCCCATATTGTATCTACTTAAGAAGGACTATAGGGGTGAGGGTGTAGAGAGCATGCTTAATCAACATGAGCTTTCTTCAACATCTCTGGGAGCCCCTTCGAGGCCTACGTATATACTCAGTGCATACCCCCTTTAGGGATGCACAAGTCCCAAGGATCATCCCAGGGATCGAACTACCCCACTTCAGCTGCCCGAAGTTCTGAATAGATTCCTTAGTCCACATTAATCTAGGAAGCAGAAAGGATCCTTTTCATGTAAATATGAGGAATCCCATACCGGCAAATAAAGGATCCCTAATATTGATCCAGGTTCCTTGAGCGATATCTGATCCTGAGGCGCTTTTTGGAAGTTCCGGGGTACTTCTGATTTCTGCTCACTGAACCTTGCTTCGTGGATAGCCGCAAGTTTGAGAAGCTTGGAACTCCATATCTCCTGATCTGATCTAAGCCCGATATATCGAATCTCTCTAACCTCAACCCTACACACGAAAGCCCTCAACCGAGATGCGGGAGGGGGCTGCTGGTCGGGGACGGAGTTCGCTCTGCACGTCGGGATTCCTTCAGTAGTAATCGCGTTCCCTAGGGCGTATAAGGACTACTTTGGCAGCACCTAGCCCCAAAAGTATGTAGAATAATTGCCCTTTCGGCTATGTTTAGGGGCTTGGGGCCATTATTCTACCTACTTTTGGGGGTTTAGGTAGTGGCGGTGGTGGAACAAAAATGGCAGAGCAGTACGGGCCCTTTCATGTCATGCCTGCTCAATCGGGCTAAGTATGATGCCAGCCCCGCGGGCCTCTCAAGGGCAGAATACGGTTCAGCGACCCAAAGCAACTGCAGCTGCGCACAGTTGTGAATAAAGGGGGTCCATCCACCCTTAGGTACGCATTCCCTGGCTCAAGAGCTTGGACCCTGCCCAGAAGCACTGCTTCCAGCAATCATCTTGCTGCGGTCCAAATAACTAATATTCAGCAGCCCCTGCTCCCGTAAACTTTTGCCATGAAACATAAGCCCTACACTCACACTGACACCAACAGGCAAGGAATGGACAGCGCTTCACCCTCAATGTGCAAGCACATAAAGAAAACCCAAGCATATCAGAACCAGCCATGGTGTGGACAGGACCTTGAAGATCATTTTATAGGAGATCCGAGTACCCAACAAGTGAGAACTTGGGGTGCAAAACTGTGGGTACTAACAATCCGGCATGACCTTTGTAGACTATAGTGCCAGCATTCTCACGGTATAAGTTACTTGGGGTCATGCAGGATTCTTAGTATCCGCTGTATTAAATGCATTACACGGGCTGGGGAAGTATGTACGTAATAATTCGTGGTACTGATAATCCTGCTATGTACAGCAGCCCTCCGGCCAGCCTCGCCCAGATGTTCATTGGCAGTGCTATTGCAGGTAGACTCGTAAAGAACTGTAATGAGATTCCTGGACCCTCCGACTACCATCCTTCTTGGCGCAAAGGACCCACTATTAGGCAGCATGTGAGCCAAAGTCTAACCCCTATAATACTCCCCTAACTATACAATTCCCTTCAAGGAGTTTAGATTAAAGCTCATAGAACCCCAATCATGGGGAGTGGGAGGTCTTGGTTTACCCTAAACCCTAAACTGATTGAGACATGTTTCTGTGCTGCGCGGCTCAGGAGGATGTACAACAAGTTTCGGGGACAGCGGCCCTCTGGTAGGAGATAGAGGCCTCGCAAACCATGGATGGGAAAGGGGTTTAGGGTTCATGGGTTTAAGGATTTAGGGATTTAGGGGTTTAGGGGTTTAGGGGTTTGGGGTTGAGGGTTGAGGGGTTTACTGTTTAGTAGTCATAGAAGGCCTTGCTCTTTTTTGTTTCACGTGAACCCGAAGAAACAAAGTGGCTCACTCGAACGACTTGACACGTTGATTTCAACAACCTCGAATAACTAAGCCCTAAACCCTGAACCCTAAACCCTGAAAATCAGGCAGTAGGCAGTTCAGGGCCGGACTTGAAGCTTACAAAGACTGAGCCCGCAAGCAAGGTGGTCGTCAAAGCTCTCCATAACTACTTTCAACTCTTCTGTAGGGTTTAGGGTTTATTGGATCAGGGTTTCGGTTTAGGGGATCAGGGTGTAGGGTTCTGGGTATAGGGGTTCAGGCCTTAGGGTCTGGGGCCTTGGGGGGGGACCTATATGAGGCCAGAAAAACAAGAGGTGGCGCTACTACTGTGACGAAGGCCCACCAGATACCCTCTATCATTGAAACCAATAACCGCTGTTTAAGGGTACCTTGCGAGTCTAGGAACAAGCATACCCCTTAACCCTACACCCATAAACAGGGCTCCCCCATATAGACCCATGGTCCTTGTTACTGTTAGACACATCATGAGAACCCCAAGTGTAGAACAGCCACTGCAGTGCTGCAGCCCATCACTTTTTCCTTGCGGAGAGGATAGCAACCCTCAAAGAGGGAACCCTAGTTCTGGGAAACCTCCTTTAAAATACGGTATAGCTTCGGAATTAAGATTATCTTGTATACTTTGGCAAGGCGGGGTTTTGGGCATCAACACTTCCACCATGTCCATTACAGTTACGCTGAAGGTCTTCCAAGTTAGATCCCAAGTGCAACCCCATGGACTCCAAACCCTGGACCCTACACCCTGAAGATGAACCCTACATAAGACCTGTATAAACACGATGTTGACCCTCCAGCCTGAAAACCCAAACCCTAAACCCCTAAGTCCCAAACCCTACCGGAACTTTGCATAAACTGCAACTCAAAAGCAAATCTAGACAGCCTCCATTAACGACCCTTTACATCATGTTGTTTTCTGTTCAGCCCTTAAAGACAGAATTCAAGTCACCGGGAGACGACGAGGAGGTAAGATACAGTGTTGGCTAGAGATCACAACGCGTAGACACTTTCCTCAAGAATGGCATGCTAATCCTGGTGGAGGAATACTAGGTCCATACATTATATATGCAGAAATTGGTCGATCCTTGAGAAGACTCAGAGTGGCGCCAATGCGCGCAGAAGAGCGCGCCCAGCACTAGCAAAAAGTCCCAAACCCTAAATCACAAGCCCTAACCCTAGGCCCTGAACCCTGAACCCTTAAATCCTGAAACCTCAAACCGCAGACCCTAAACCCAAAACCCTAAAATCTCAGGATCTGTCAAGGTCCAGAATCAAACCCTGGATCCTAAACCCTGGACCGAAACCCTACACTGCAAACTCTCAAGATCTGCCAAGCTACAGAAATTATTGCTACCACCGTTTGCTACTTCCCTTAGCCCTTAGCATGACCAATTTGTGAACCCAATATTCGCCAGGTACCCCAAACCCTAAACCCTAAACCCAAAAACCCTAAACCCTAAACCCCTAAAACCCTAAAGCCCTAAAGCCCTAAAACCCTAAAGCCCTAAAACACTTAAACCCAAAACCCTGAACCCTCAAACCCTGATGCCAAGGTACAGGAAGGTAGGGCTGGGCCCAGGGCTTGCCTCCGTGACTGGTCGGGTAGACGGTGCTGTGTCCTCTCAGGGGAAAGTTGGGGGAGGATTCAGGGCTTAGGGTTTAAGGTTGAGCGCAGGCTTAGGGTTCAGGGTTTAGGGTTTATGGTTTAGGGTTTATGGTTTAGGGGGTTCGGGTTTTAAGGTGTTTGGGTCTAGGTTTGGGGTTTCGGGTTTGGGGTTCAGGATTTAGGGTTTAGGGTTCGGGATTCATGGTCATTTCTCAGGTTTGTTAGGGGGAGGGCATGAATCTCTGGCTATGACCCCTTCAAATCACCAGGACATTAAATTTCTGTATGCCATGCGAGTATTCCCTCCATCAATAACACCTTAGAAGAACCCCCTTACATGATCCCTATCTTGTATAGCACCCTTATTTGGGTACAATCTTTCAAGAGGAAATCCCTTTGTATGCACCCTGCAATGAATAGGGGGTCGGGGCGTAGCTACAATCCCGACAACACATCAGTAAGATGTTGGACATCTCCCATGTACTCCAATACACGCTCTGAGCGGCCTGAAGCAGCACCGCAACTCAATGGATCACCCCCCTCTTGATACTCTGATTGAAAGGAAATTAATACCCAAATCCCCGATGTAGGCAAAAAATGGCCTCAAACCCCCCAGAAAAGCCCAAAGGGCCATTGTTCTGCTTGCTGGCTTTTGGGGTCTAGGTGCTCTCAACCCTAAACCTCCAACCCTAACACTCTCAGCAGGGTTTAGGGTTTAGGATTTAGGGCCTTGCCATTCTAATTATTTTTTCTCCCGGTGTCCTCCAGAACTGCTTCACACTGCTCTCGCACCTTCTCCCGCACGTCATCCGGGAGAAGCCACTCCTTATCTTACTGGTTCTTAGTAGGGAATGAAGAGGATTGGGATACATTATATAGGGATTATGTAGGGAATATATTCCCCTGCTCCCTACTAACAACCAGTACAAGTAGGGTATTGCGAGGAGGCAAACTGTTGAACGTATGATATGTGGATTTCTAAGAAGAATGGTATTCGCAGGGATTGTACTTGAACAAAGCATTGCTAAAAACGCAAAAGCAACAGATGAGGCAAACTGAAAACTGGCCACTTGTTTTGTGGACTCTCATGGTGGAGCACAAGACGAGTGCGGAAACGTGTTTTTCCCCAACGTGTCCCACTTGGTTGGAGCACATCTCAGTCAATCTCAACGCAAGCCAGAGCAGCGTCGCTATTTAGGATTCTGGATCTTCTGGGAAGTCGACAATTTTCAGCAAGGCATGTGAGGCTGGAGTTTCCCTGCTGCTGCGAGGGCCTAAATTCGAACGCAGAGCCCTGCGAATCCCAAAGTCAGGCATATAGTTAATGAAAAGGTTCCTTAACAGCAACCCAGAAAAAGGGGAACGCAGAACCCTGCGAATCCCAAAGTCAGGCTAGCTTCGGATCGAACGCAGCACCAGGCGGCAGCCGAGATCACCAGCGGCAGGACGACCAGGAGGATGCAAATGGTGAAGACCGAAGAAGCATCCCATAAGGACCTTGAAAGGCATTTGGGTTCTAGGGGAAAATGGAATAGGAAATGGAGACTACTCAGGGTTTAGGGTTCGGGGTAAATTACCAAAATGAGGAAAAGCCATTGTTTACTACACAGCCTTAATTTCAAGTGGGCAACGTCAACTAAACTCCTTAACAGCAACAAAAAAATGTTGGTTGTTCCTAGGGAATATATGAGGCAAATGGATGTATGATATAGGGTTCCATCCCATCAGGATCTAAAACTTACTGGTACTTAAGGGGCTCTATGTAGTGATCATAGGGGTCTAGAGTTTAGGAGCTAGCGAGTAGGGAATGGAAAACATGGAAATGCAACTATAGGAGCCAAGTTATAAAATGATTCGGTGATTACGAAGGAGATCCCCCCCCCAACTTTCCCTGAATCCCTGAAGCTCTGGGGGGGTGAACTCTTAGTGCTTGAGATTTGGCGATTTAGGGTGTAGGGTTGGGAGTGGGGGTTGGGACTCGATTTCAGATGCTTAGGAACTCTGGTAAGGCTACCTGCCTTTTTTCTGGCTTGAGAGCAAGTAGGTAATCAAGAGGACGCATTCTACTATGACTTCTGTACCAGCAGGGGAGCACTGACTATTCCCTGAACCCCAAACCCTAAACTTTATAAACTCTGAAATCCAAACCTCGAAGGTGCAAAGGAAGGGCCCTAAGTAGGTGGGCTTCTCAACCTTCGTGTCCCTTTAAGTTGTCTTTGGGGGTTTCCCCACATTAGGGGTACGTTTTGGGGGACCGCATAATAAGTATTATGATACTTGGGCTCTACATTGGGGTCCCTCTATTTAGGGAAGCGGCCATTCTCATAATTTCTTTGCCAATAGTTCTCCATGGAAAGGTATGAGGCCCTAGGAAGGATGCCAGACTGTAGCGGTGATAGAAGGGGAAATCCCAGCTAGAGAAACCCTAAACCCTAAATAGTAGCTTCCATTTCCTTTCCATTATCCCTATAAAACCCTAAAATCAACCCATTGATCCCTACAGTAGTCCCTATATAATCCCACCCATTGATCCCTATAGTAGTCCCTATATAGTCCCACCTATTGATCCCTATAGTAGTCCCTATACAGTCCCTCGAGGTTGCCTGAAGTCTGAGCCGGGCGGCAGCAGGGCAAAGGAACTTGCCAGTATCGCCGGAAGGCTGATGAGAAGCAGGAAGTACACGAAGGTGTACCTAAACCCCAAAAGTATGTAAAATGATAGCCCTAAACCCATAACAACAGCCATAAAGGCCATTGTTTTACATACTTTTGGGGGTCCAGGTACTCGTTGACCGCGGCCGCACACATGAGGCCCGCATGAAGCGCCACGCGACGCACGCAGGGCAGGGCTGTTAGAAGCATGCCGTAGATGCTGTAGAGAAGCCAAACCCATCCCAGCTGGATAATCCTGGGTTGCTGTTAAGGAACTTAAACTAAGTTACTATATTGGGGAAACCCCATTATTTACTATATATACCCATTATCGTAACTTAATTTAAGTTCCTTAACAGCAGCCCAGAATCCTGCAGCTTAGTAACACGGGGCATGACTGCACAATCAAGCAAACTTCAAAAGCGCTCTTTAAGACTGCTGCGGGGGTCTACTTCAGAGTAGACTTTGCAGGGTGGATTGTAGCAAAAGTCAGGAGTAAGGTTCCCACATTTCCTCACAACTTTCAAGGCACCACTTATGCCACCCCCGCCGCGCCTCCCAGTCCCAGGCCAAGCTTCGCCCCAAAGCAAACCCTAAACCACAGAAAGACTAGAAGGGTTAGGGCCTAGGGTCTTCAGGGCGTAGGGTTGAGAGCTTAAGGTTTAGGGTGTTTAAGGCGATAACAGTGCGTAACATCTGTAAACCGAACCTTCAAAATCGAAAACCTCACCTAAGATGTGCCAGTCTGGCAAAGCTTCCCCTTGGAGTATGGTAGCTCAGCCGTGGCGGCCGCAATCAGCGCCAGCGCACTTCCGACTTCAGCAGCCATGCAAAGGTACATCCTTTGTGGTTGGAAGTATGGGCCCTGAATGGTCTGTATATCAATATCAACTACAGATAGAATGGATACAGGGTACGTGGAGACTCAGGTTAGGGCCATTGTTTTGACCTCTCGTCTAGGGTTTAGACTCAGAAGATATCAGGTTCAGGTTTCAGGTCGCAGGTTTTGACAATGGAATATTTGGGGTCCTCATGCATGTACCTGTTGGTATATGCACTGGGTAGACGCCGTGGCAGCCTATATGCTGTTCTGTGACTCTGAGGGGTATCGGAGTGAGCTGCTGATTTCACGTTTTTCTATCCGCTTTGGACTATGTCTTGAAGGTAGAAAAACGAAATGAGTTCCAACAAACCACGACCAGCTGTTCGTCACAATCAAGCAGCATCTTCCCCGGGGGCAGGTAGCCCATCCCACATAGCGGCGTCAGCACGCACACGACGGACGCACTCTGGTGCATCAGCAGCAGTGAGAACAGCATTAGCCCGAAACTCGCCAGGGGGCCTGGAACCGTGAGAGCCTTCTGCAGCACGAAGCGACATCTTCCCATGCTTCGCAAGTCTGCCATCTGAAAAAGACGCGATGCTATGAATAGGAAGACCAAACTGCAGATGAAGCCTGACAGCACGCCCCCTTCTTCCAACATTCTTTCATCCTCCACATTGAGCCTCCAGAAAGTCGTGCTCGACAGCAAGCATGATGAATGGTTTCCGCCACAAACTGTTGAATTCAAAGCATTAGCACAAACGTTCAGCTGGCTGTAGTATCCTGGGTTCAGTGCCTTCCATGCATCTTGAACCGGTGGAGGGAGGCATGAGTAGGTGCAGCCCTTTCCAGCTGCAGCAAGCTCATGCATATCACCAGTTATGCAGGACACGCCTGTAGCCGGCAGCACAGCCGGCGGCCCTAAGATGTAGGCTTTGAGTCGCCATTCCTGAATACGCACCTTGGTTCCACAGTAACCCCTCAATAAGAAGGGTACCCTTCTTTCTCGTGTTCAGCTTTCATGAGGAAACCCCAAAATGCAAGGGGAAAAAGGGTACCACTAGGGTACCTAGGGTTGTAGGTTGGCCCCTAAACCATAAACCCTACTACTCGCGTACGTAGGCACTATGCGATTTGCCAGCGGACGGACGGCCCAGGAAGCGGGGTCAATGTATGTGAGATGGATCGATGCCATAGAGTCGACCTGTTGAGGCTTGAGGGTTTAGAATTCAGGGTCTAGGGTCAAGGGTTTAGGACTTAGAGCCTGAGGGTTTAGGGATTCAGACAAGAGAGCTTCGAGGCGTTGACATGGGGGCTTCCATAAATCCAGGGCCCCAATGTAAAAACCTACCTAAACCCCAAACCCTAAACCGCATTCAGCTTAACTCTTGGGCCTCTTGGGGCTCCCAAAGGGGCCCTGATATTCTGAAGTTCCAGCATTGCACTTGGAATGCTACAAGCTTGGGATCGCCCCACCTAAACCCCAACCCCTAACCCCTAAACCCTACATACTACGCAGGCTTCTGCAGTCCCAAGAAGCCAACAACACGGTTTAGCTTTAAAAGTTTCGCCCGTATCCCCCTTCGTAACCCCTATCATAGCCCCTAAATAGCCCCCTACATGATCCCCCTTCAAGGACGTTATACTACAGCTCATGTGAAGAATCCACTATTCAGGGAGCTGTCCTTTGTACCGTCAGGGTTTCAACCCTTTGGGTTTGGATCCTTAAGCCTTGGAAACAGGGTATGCGGGACCCTAAATGCTGAACCCTAAAGCCTAAACTACCCCCCAATCCTAAGGTTATACACCTTAAGGGTACAAACTTGAGGTTTTCGTCCTCTAGCTCCGTAGAACCCTTTCGCAGCAGATCACGCTCTGGAACCCTAAAACCAAACCTGGACCACCACTCAAGTAAAGCGGCTTGTGTTTCAACAACATGCTCCTACGGTGGATGCTGATACTCCTGCATGACCCTAGGTATCTTATGCCGTGGGTATTGTGGTATGATCGTATACTGAAGTTATGCAGGGGTTTTCAGTATCACAAGCATGTCCTAAAAGCTGAGGCCTAGCTGTAATCTGCAGTGCGGTCTGGGCATAAAGATGTTTCTCTGGCACCAGCACCAACAGGAGCAATGTGACAATGCCAACATGCGTGACTATCTTCTGAAAGCCTACCACACAGGCCCATTAGGCCCATTGCAGCCATCTGAAACACAAAGCCCTGATTGGGCCCAAGCCCCATAAACTTCAACACCGTAGGCCCTCAACTAACCTTTGGTTAGCTAGGACTAAAGGAATGGATCCTTACAGTAGTCCCAATACAACCTGCTATAGTAGTTTCCATTTTCTCCACAGCATAGGGTTGAGTAGACTACAGTCCCCCAGGCCACCACGTAGGCCAATGCAGATATAGACTTCCTATAGGCTTCAGGGAGCAATGTAGGCATGACCCAAACTCTCAAACCCTCAAGCCCAGCATGACTAGAACATGTGAATGGCCAAAAAATGAGACACAAAACCTGCGCAAAACTCCGCCTAAAACTGCGGACACGAACTCTAGACAATTCCTACAAACCCCAAACCCTAAAGCCTAGAAATTGGCTACTAGGATAGTTGTCAAGCTACCACCATGCTGCAAAACTAGATCATAGACATATGTCTATATCTATATATATATATCTCTCTCTCTCTCTCTCTCTCTCTCTCTATACATATATATATATATATATGTGTATATGGCCCAAAGTGCCTATAGGAGAATAGCAAAGAGACAGATAAGCCATTCTACATGCTTTCTCTGAGGGATTGATTTAGGGTTTAGGAGGGTTGGGGTATTGGTTAGGGATATCCATATTTCTTCCTAAGCCCTAAACCCTAAGGCCAGCACGAGCGCCGAGGTAAAGCCCAACAGCTTACCGTGGCTCCTCGGATCATCATGGGTTTCATAGGAGGTTTAGTTTGGGTCCTGTCCACCCATTAACAGTCTATAATAGGGGTCATAGTAAGACTATATATACTTGTGCTATGAATATTATCCAACTGTGCATGAGTGGGGGCAGAACCCAAGGTTTAGGGTTTAGGTTAAGGTTTTGGGCATAACGGATGGTAAAGGTTATATCAGAGTCGAGAGGTACATAGATAAGTAGATAGACATATATATATATGTGCATATACTTGTATACTTTTGTAAGGTTACGCAAAGAAAGCAGCGGTTGTTTCCAGACTATAATATAGGAGATTAGGGATATAGTCCACAAGAAAATGGAGATTACTGCACAAAAATCTAGGTATCTACGGGTATCTTAGGGGTACATAGGGATATATAGGGGTAGATATCGCAGCGGAAAAGAACATGGAAACTGTTGTGTTAGGTATGGTCTAAGGGTTGTCAGAATGATGGTCCCTTTTTCCGGCGTTGCGCAGGGGACCCTAGGAGGAACCACAATTTTGACAACCCATTGTATGGTTTCTCTATGTTTCTCATATAAAAGGAGCCCCTGCCGACCCGGGGATATAGGGGGGAAACAAAGAGATTACGGAGTCAGGACTGCTACTACCACCGCTATGAAGAGGCTTCAGAATCGATCCTGTATACTTCTTCTACCTATCACATTGATGATTATAGACATCGCTGGATGGTGCGGAGTCCAGGCAGCCACATCTGTCCGACAAACGAAGGACCATGATGCCCCATCATGCATGTAGCGGCTCTGAGAATCGAAGCAGCAAATTCTCTGCGTAATCTGCAACGATACATGTGCCATACTCTAAAGTCCTAGTATCCCTCTTAATCATCCCTAATGCTCCCCTCTATAACCCCTATATATCCTTTTATTAACGAGTTTAGAGTATAGCTCACATGATGACATGGACAGGCTTTTGTGTCAGCATGTCTGGCCCTACGAAAGCAATAATGGATTTTCTTGCACCGTAAGTTTTGGGCTTCTGGGGTCCCAGAGAGCCCAATACCCCCTTATCAAAGAATAGGGTTTAGGGTTTAGGGACCCTAATATGATGTAAGGAGTATGCCTTGATTAAGGTGTATCGGGCTCCCTGGGGTGATCAGGCTTCGAGCCCCACCCACTGCAGCATCTTGACAGAGCACATTTGCTTCATACTCATACTGGCGGCTCCTCAGAACTATCATCATGACATGAGCCATAATCTAAACTCCCAGTATCCCCCTTCATAACGCTTACCATGATCCCCTATATAACCCGATGCATCATACCCTTCAATGAGTTTAGACTATAGCTCAAATAGGGACATGGCAAAATTGGAGTTGTTGCAACTGTCACATCTCAGGCTGACAAACAACTAATCCCCTTCCCTGATTAGGGTTCAGGGTTCAGCTGTTAGGATTTATCCCAAGCAGTAATCAGTACATCGCACTAGGGTGGTGGGACTGTTAATTATAAGGCAAGAGGGTAAATGATTAGCATCCGTATCCAGGCACTTCGTCCAACTAGCAGCAGCCCCTGAAACTAAACTGATGAAAGTTTCGCAGAACTTAGGCTTCCTAAACGCTCCCCTCTGGGCAAGTATTTGACTATTGGGTACTTGTCAGGGAGATGTAGCAGTTTCCAAGAGTAGCGGGGCTCCAACATCCTATAATCCTTCATTCTTAGGACTCCCCCAAACTGACACCTCTACTTTTTGGAAACCCTAACCACTGTAAGTCCCGAACCCTCACCCTCAAGCCCAATCCCCAAACCCCAATCCCTACACCCTAAACCCTAATCCCTAAACCACTTAGGCTCTGAGAGAAATGTATCTACCTGGACCCCAAAAGTAGGCAAAATGGTAGCCCAAAACCCTTCAATATAGCCCAGAAGGCAATGATTCTACATACTTTGGGGGTTCAGGTAAGGCTCAACCCCAAAATACTATAGTCCTTATTATAGGGACCCCCCAACAAAAGGTACCCCTAATTATGGGAAACCACCATATTAATCTGAGGCTCAATATTTCTAAACCCCAGACCCCAATCTCTAAACCCTAAACCCTAATCCCCAAACCACTTAGGCCCTTAGAGAAATAGATCTAAGGCTCAATATTTCGGCGGGCACCAGGAGCAAGGCACAGCTACCACAAGCCATCAGCTTCAACATCTGCCAAAGGAGAGAGGTGGTCACTGGATTGTTAGATAGGGACGGTTTAGGGTTTAGGGGGTTTAGGGGTTAGGGTTTAGGGGGTTTAGGGGGTTTAGGAGGTTTAGGGTTTAGGGGGTTTAGGGGGTTTAGGGTTTAGGGTATAAAGGAATATATAGGGCTTATGGCTAAGGAGCTTGACGTTTAGGGCTTGGGGCTTAAGTTATTAGCATGAGAAATGCAGTGGACAAGAACATAGAAAATGGAATGGAGGCTATAGTAGCGGCTATAAGGTTGCACAGTGGGGGCAGATATAGGCAGTTAAGAAACTAAAATCAAGTTACTGCTATACGAAAACCAGTACTGATCATAGCGATGTAGTTCAAGCTTCTTAACAAAAAAGCAAGTTTAGGGTTAAAGCGCCAGGAGAGACGTTTGGTGGTGTGGCGGTCCAGGTGGGTTAAAGTTTACAAACAGGATACCGGATGGGTAGGGGGATCCAAGGGCTCGGGGGATTATACAACTCTTTTGCGAGTTGAAGACTCTTTCTACATTATGCCTACTGCTAAGCTACTTACCCTCCAAGGTCATGCTTTGTTTAGGCACGTGGGCCATGTTCACAGTTTGCGGAACTCTGCCTGCTCCTCTTTAGCTTCAACACGCTTCCATTTAGGTGCACATGTTGGTAACAACTATTCTTCTGACCCTGTACTTGGGATTGCCCAGGATATTCCAGATCGCATGACGGTCTTCAGACAGATGTGATCTGGGCACATCCCTAAACCCCTTAAGTATACGTATCCAAAAAAAGCCCGATGCAGCAATGTTTACAGACTTTGGGGCCAAAAGTAAGCATGATCTGTATACTTGGAGCTGTAGGTCAGTAGGTCACACCCAAAACCTTACTACCCTAAGGGTCCAAGTACCTAATAATCATATACTTACCCAAAACCTGTACTATAATTACTATTCCCCAAATCCCACGTACCTAATTATTGGGTACATGGACCCTCTGGGCTATAACCGTGTGGGCAGCCACTTAAGACTCACTGGGTTGCAGCTGATGGCCTGGTAGGCCGCGATGCCCCAAACTGCACGGGTCCTTAGGCTGCAAGTGCTAACCCAAGGGATCCCCTGGATGTATAGGGATTTAGGGTTTAGGGTTTAGGGTTAGGGATTATATTGGGAATCTTATTTGGGATTATTTTGGGGATTATTTATATTAGGGATTATATTAAGGATTATATTAGGAATTATATTAGGGGCATATACCCAATAATGGAGCATTACATGGAAAAAACAATGGAACATGAAATGGAGACTGCGTTCAAAGGGGCTATATAGGGACTGAGATATACAAAAAATACCTACAATTTGCTCTAACGTCTGCAAATATTAGCTACGTTGGGCTATTTGCATCCCTAGGGCAAGGGAACAGCACGGTGAGATTATTTGCTAGGGGCCTTCTTGGCCGGGCTAAGGTTAGATCCAGCCCTGGTTGCTAGCAGATCACGTGTACGGCCCGGTGCGACCCTATACCCTACACTCAGGTCCCGACTTCGGGCTCCTGAGAACAATCCTGCCAGTGACATGAAGTGCAGCGTCCGCTTTGCGAAGAAATTGCCTCTGAGGAACTGTGTATGATGCTTCAAGAATCTTCTTCAGCTGAAGCGTTTTGGGATGCTCATGGCACCATAGCTTAAACATGGCAGGTGCTTCCTGCAATGAACTCAGTTCCCCTAAGCCCTAAACCATGTAGACTTTATAGACCCCGAATAATTGGAGGGTCATGGGGACTTAGTAAATTGGTTAATAATGGGGATAATTGGGATTGTTATGTGTCTTATAGGGGTTATTAACCTACTTACTAAGTCCCCATGACCCTCCAAGTAGTGAAGCGCAGAACCTCATAGGGTATGCTCTTCGCAGGACCCATACCCTGAGGGGGCTATTGGAGGAGATCTTGCGCCACGCGGTTTAGTGATTTAGGGCTTAGGGCTTAGGGTCCCTAGATATCCCAACATAGCCCTATATATCCCTTATATAACCCTATATAACCCTGTATATCCCTATATAACCCTATATATCCCTATCTATATATATATATATATACTTAGCTCTCTCTCTCTCTCTCTCTGTCTCTCTCCCTATAGAACCCTTATAACCCTCGTTGTGTCACTGGCGCACCCTCGCAAGGCCATGACAGCCTGGCTCCTACTGACAATGCCTGGTAGCCTCTGACAACTCGGGCAGAGGTACCATCCTTACACCAAACTCAGGGTTGCTGTGAAGGAACTTAGATTAAGTTGTTATAATGAGGAAACCCTATTATTTACTAGAAGCCAAAAATATGTCAAATTAAGTTCCTTAATAGCAACCCAGAAGTGGCAGCAATCATCATACAAAGAATGACAGCAGCAATCACAGCAACCATGTTTTCAATGTGATGCTTGCGCATCCTGTCATTCATCGTTCAGCCCTGTAGTTACATAACGAAGAAGCAGAACTAATCAGCAGCTGAGGGTCAAGTGGGGTCGTTGGCCCGGCATCGCGGCTAGCAGAAGGGGCGCGATTGTGGCACCTTGCCCATCCAAATGACGGCAAAACGTTTCTTTTCTGAGACCCAGCTTCTGAAATTCCTAGGATACAGGTCACGGAATCGGGATTACCAACTACCTTGGGCTATTTGGAATAAGTATGTCACGTACCGTTTAGGTGTGTGGGTCTTGTGCTTGCCTGGAAGTGCTCCAATTGTTGGAGTAGAATTTGCTTGTGAATACCGCCACTGTACAGGCAGGACAAAAACCCAGTGGGACAAAAAACACCCTGCCGCGGCCTGGTAAAAACTAAGCAAAGAACTAAATGAACAAGCAAGCCCTGTTGCTCTCTCTTTGTCCTCAAAAAACAACCCCACCCGAAAGGCCCCAAACAACCAACACCACCCAACACCAACA